AAAAAAAAAAAAGGAATAAAGGAAAGAAGCGAGAAGTTCGAGCGAAGTGAGTGACGCTATCTGACGCTTTTAATCGAGCTACCGTAAATCGCTCTTTCAGCGGCGTTCTCGCGATCGCTAATGGCGGTCGACGAGCGCGGGTCGAGCAGCGAAATATAAATTGCTGACACGGTTAATTCAGCCTCGACTCGCGGGGCCATTGCGAAATAAAACGCAGCTCCCCCGGGGGAGCGAGGGGAAGTGGGGCCTGATTGAATTCGAACTGAATTGGATCGTCCTGATTACGCGATATTCGGGGCTGAGGTGCTGATGTGCTCCGAGACGCGCGGCTCGGAGATCGCGGCGCCTATTCAATTCGTCGATTCTTCGTGAACACGAACCAGCCAGAGAATGCGAAAGAACGCGATTAAATCCGGACGAATCGGGACGAAACGTCGTGTCTGAAACTTTCAGAGCAGTCTCGAGCTGGTGAACAGTAAAAGGACCGACCAGCTTAATGATTATACCGTGGTATTCGCCGCGCTAATCGCCGCCTGTAGTTTGCTCCGCAAATCGTACCGTGCAAGCGATCATTCGATCGAGCATACATACACGCATACATCAGTGGATATTCAAACTGACAAATTCGCTCGAATTTCAGTTTGGCGAAATCTTTCGAGAAGCAGTAAACAGGATCGTACGGGATTAATATATATAGAAATATGTGTGTGTGTGTGTGTGTGTATGGTCTGTAAATCGAGGTCGAAAATCGTTGAACGTGAACTATTAAAGGGAATAATGCGCTTCCTTTGTGTGCAAATGAAAGGCGGACTTTTTGTGAGGAGTAAAAACTTTATTACACGATATATTGTCCATTTTGTTCGATTATCTTTTGTCATCTTTCAGGCAACTTGTTGCCTTTTTCGGCAAGAGACTGTTCTAAAAACGATTTAATGTCCTCATCAGCGATGAAATTTAGCAATACACGTATAAGATACTTTTTTCATAAGCTTGCACAGCGAGCAAGAAATTTTTTTTCCCTCTTCAGAAATAGTACAGCAAAACGAAAAATCCTCGTTGATACTTGATTTTGAAACGAAGCGATTATTAACGAAATCGTGCATTTTCTTCTTTCTAAAATAAGCTTGAAATTAGCTGTTAGATTATACAATGAACTTGCGCTTTAGAATGAATTTAATTACATTTCAACATATGTATGTACGTCTGTTTACTAAGAAAAAAAGGCAATTACTTTTTGCCCAATATTTATAAACATCATCGGTATTGTAATTTACCGCCTCTGAATCCAATTATCTTACTCTTTATCGTTTATTGGCACAGTGATAGAAAGAGATAATTTCTGACATTAACTATAAAGTTCTCCGAAAACTTTTAATTCTATTCTAATTAATCTTTCGATCGAGTGCAATCCTATTGACCGCTGGAAGATCGTGAATCCAATTCTTCAGTTTCTATCGTTCTATCGATGTAAAGAAACAAGAATAATTTTCAATCTTTGTCACAGTGATAGGGTTTTTTATCTGATATTAACTAGAGTTCTTTATCAACTTCTGATATTAACTAATTTTTCGAAAACCGGCTCCTAAATAACCTTTTAACCGATCGAGCGCAATCTC